GATCATGTAATTCAAAAAAATTTCCCTAACTCATGTATTTTATGTCGATGGTTTATGTGCTTAACTGCATGTATTGTGATCAAGACAATGGAAAATATCATTCCATATTTGAATTTCTATATTGACCTCTTGCAGTGGTCCAGAACCTCAATACAGTTCAGGATGTTTCTTTTATTCTGCTTTTTATTTTCCAGTCTGATGCAAATGTTTAGTGACCTTTTACACCTCTTTTGAAGGCTGATTTTCTTTATCTAGTCATGTGAAGATAAGAAATGTGTCCACTGACCTATTGCCTGATGCACAACCTCAGATAACCATGATGTATCAGCTGTTAGAACAGCAAAGGAGACAGCAACAGTAGTATTAACATGATGAACAGACTACACTAGTGCAGTTCTCTTGGTTATGCTATTATATTGGGTTATTGTTGTCTCTAGTTTATTCTGAGAGAGGCTGTTTCTAAAGGCCATTGATATATATGTAGTAAATTGTGTTCTACTCATGTAGTCTTACAAAGTTAACTTTTGTGACCAAAGAATATTTCCACATTTTTGCATTTGAAATGGTGGTTTTACTCAAGCATTAGTCTAAGTCTCCACCAAATGCTGGTCCTGGTATAGATCAAAGAATAATTTGAGAGTAAAGGTATACAAAGAGAATGTATAAAAACAATAACATATATGTGTCTCTGTTACACTTTATGTTACTGACTTGACAGCATCAATTCATCACAGTTTCCTGCACTAATCCAAACATGAATCCTTTATTAAATAGGGGTGGCAGTATGTTTGAGCCAAGACCTGCTATCACTATCCCATTTATGTTTCTCTGAACTCCGCGCCCCCAAATTTTGAGACTTAACTGATCAAAATACTTCTCTTTTGATTTTATCTGAAGGTTCAAAAACATATTTTGTCTTTATCAACACAAACTGAAGGCTACATATTTCATAATGAAATGGTATGCTGATTTTCATGTTAATCTCATGTATTTGCCACATGTGTAGTAGAATGGACAGTAAAAAAGCATTATTTTTCTAAAAGGGAGTATACATTTTTTCTGACATTGCCTTCATTTAACACTGTGTGAAGAGATACAAACAGCCTTTTGCTTCTGAATTCTGAAAGAGCATTCCTGAAAAGGTGCAGTTTATAATTAAAAGCCAAATAGAATTAATATGGTAAATATTATAGTATACATTCTCTTTTGCAAGCATCTACTCTCGTTTCTTTTTGAATATTAATAGTTATATGTTGCTGGTAAGCCATTGCAACATCAATACTTTGAAAGATCTTTCTTCTGAAAGATTACTATGGTATTAGTGTTCAGAATGTAAATTTGCAATAGTGATATGATTATTCCCCATATGTGGCATATTCATGGCTTCTATCTTTGTTTCCTTCCATGGCAATCTCCTTTTCATACATATATTTGTATGGCTGTAGGTTGAGGTAGCTAAATTGACAAAGTTTGAAAGTTCACTTTAGGTAGAATACACACACACAGATTTCATGCCTTAGCTGAATCTGGCATTTCTACTCCCATTCTCAGGCAAAAACATAAAAGATGTGGTCAACAAAACATTTTTTTAAACACTAGCAACATTTCCATTGAGATTATATTTGAGTTTTGACTGAACAGTCTAGTCAGAATCTTTATCGTCTTACTATTTCATTAACCCGTGGATGAGCAAAAGGAAGGAAGGGAGTGATCAACACATATCCATCAAAATTTGATTGATAAGACACTAGATGGTGCATATGTACTCCTGATGTCCATCCAAACAGCAGTAAAATATGTAACTGTTAATCTCCCTTGCACCTTGCAATCTTAATCTAAAGTAATAAGAGTATGTTTAGACATACCTCAATAGTTGGTTATACCAAGGACAAAATTACATACCACATGGAGGCAAAGACTGAATTAAAAATACCATGTTATATCTGAATTCACTGCCATTTAGACTGAGTAAATTTAGGTCTTCTTCAAGGTATTTCTTTATAAATACGTAAAAAATGAACTCATTTTTCAAAAGTTTTATTGTTAAGTTTGAAGACTAGACAAGGTCATACTGGTTTTACATCATCCTACATGATTTAAGTATATACAAAACCATTTGAATATTACACAGCTTGAAAGGTTGCAAAGGTCATTGTGTCTGAGTTACTTCTGTACTTACTGACACATCAGAAGCCAGCATTGAATATTATATTTCATTGTTGTATAGCAAAGATACACTCATTAGTATCCCTAGTCTTCAAAACTTACACTAACTTGTATGCAGTCATTCCGAAAGAGAAAGTCAACCTAAAAATCAGAATCAGTTGATGTGATAAGCCCTTAATAGAATGTAGATCAAACTAAACTTTGCGCCTTGTTTTCTTTTTCAGGCTATATAGCACATCACAGAGCTATAGAAAGGTGAAGCCTGACTATAAATATTTAACTGGTTCAGGGTGTAATTTAAGTAAGAGAACAATTGCACTCCAGTTTGTTGTCACTGTTACACTTTATATAAAAAATAAGGATTATTTCATAATGTTTTTCTATTTTTTCTTAGACATAGTCTCTACACTTTCTGTGTATGCGACTCCCAGTATGTTTTAGAGAGGAATCAGTGAAGAATATGTCCCTTAGTGTCAATGAATGTTATGTTATGCAAAGGAGTAAAAAAATGTTAAAAGAAAAAAAAATAATTTGCGGGCCAAACCTGACTCTCAGCTGCTATGTTAAATGTGAAGTAACTTCATAGGAGTCAATGAAGTTATTTCAGTTTTACACAGATGTCATTTGAAGCGAAATCTGGCACTGTAGCTGTACAATACAGTTTAATGAAAGATTTCCAGCAATTAAAAATCAAATGATGTCACTAGAACAATGCACAATACAGCATTTGAAAATGTAAATGCATCATATACGATTCAATCATAAATCATCACCAAACGCTACCACAGTGTATTGAGCTTTCTCATCAAGCTCCGAAAAATGAAAGCATACAAAAATAAATAGATGGAAAAATTCAACTCTTTGAAATATGATGAAATAAGAGAAAAGTCTAAATTCTGTAACTAAATTTTGCTTTTTTATGTGCTGATGAAACTGAATTATAATCACTGAGTCAAAACAGGTTAATTCTAATCCAAACTTAAAAATGTAAAGTACTAGCAAACACATAAAAATTACTTATGAACATGGCAAGTAAATTAAAAAACCAGAGTAAAACAAATTGCTGACTTAGAGATCCTACTTTCAGAAATGGCCTCCCTTTTAGTGGGCAAAGTCAGATAGAAGTCTACATGCTATTTTTTATACCTACAATTAAATGTGGGAACAAATTAGTGCACACAAAGGAGGGGGCGAAAATGAGACCCCTTTCAATATCAGGCCCAGAAAAAAATTCAAACATTCCCACCCAGTAACTTTTTTGTGAAGACCCTAAAGTGCAAAACGTGGGCAGTATGTAATTTAACTATATACCAGTCTTCCATTTTCCAAATGGTTTTACATTAAAAATGCCATTATGATTGACTTTCTCTTTAAAATTGTTCACTACAATTGAAGACCACTCCATATATACATCATTAAGGAATGCTGCTAACACAGTTACAGACAAGACAGTAACAGTCTAGTGGCTTTTGTTATGCAGCACAAATTTTAAAAAAATAAACAAAAAACTTAGCAGTGTTGCACAGGACCTCAACATTTCTTACACATATTTTCTTTTACCTTTAGAGGACTCTTAATTAAAACCTTTGAAAATTCATGTCTAAGCCTCATAAAATAAATACTTGTATAAATAAAACAAAAGGGGTAAGTAAATTTCATTTGTTTATTTTTAAAAATGCAAGTAATTGGATATGTGCCATCAAGCAAACCTCCACAAATCAATAATACATTTTTGTTTCAAAAATTTGCCACCAAGTTTGAAGGTCTTTCAAAGTAAAATTTTCTCTTTGTGGAAAATGAGAGATTATATGCCGGTTATGAAATTCAAATTATTTGCTTTTTAAAGTAAATTTTTCCCCATTGCAGATTATGGGACAACTGTTTGTATATCTGGGAAACAGGCCCAGGTTCATATCTCAGTGATGTTATAGTATCAATAAAATGTAATGGTGACAAACAGAAATTCAGCATTATTTGGTTAAAACATATAGCACTATATATCTACATCAGCGTGTTATGAAATTAACAGAGTAAAAATAGTCAGCTCTCCAATGTTCCAAATATTAGCTTAGATAACTAAACCACTTTCCCACTCCAAGAATTTGAAAGTAAGATAATAATATACTAATTTGCATTTATCTTTAATTTGGAAAGGTGAATATCATCATCTCCTTTTACAAATAAGGAAACCAGGGCAGAAATAAAGTGACTTGCCCAAGATGGCACAATGAATAAGCAAGAGTGCGTCTACACAGCAGAACAAAACTAGAATTAAGCTACACAACTTCAGCTACATCAATTACATAGCAGAAGTCGAAATAGCTTAATTTGGTTTTGGCGCTATCTATACAGCAGGAAGTCGAAGGAAGAACATTCGTCCTTCAACTTCCCTTACTCCTCGTAAAATGAGGGTTACAGGAGTTTGAATAAGAAGTCTCCCAGCTTGACATTATTTCAAAATAATGGCTTGCAGTGTAGACATGCTCTTTACTCCAAAATAATGCTGCGTGTAGATGTACCCCAACAGAGCTGGGATTATAACAGAGGTCTCCTGATTCCCAGTTTTATTCTCTACCCATACACTGCCTCACATGCTGAGAGCTGTGTTCATGTGAAATGTTCACAGACAGCTAGCATGATGGACACTAACCCGCACATCACTGGGAACGTGTTCAGTTGGGCTGCCTCCAATACTACACAATAGATGTGGCCTGCTGCTCCCCTCTTACAGTGCTCAGTGGTCATTTGTTCTCTGGAGACTATATTCCTGACATGCCCCAGTTACAACATTCCCTGGTATAGGCTGAGTTTGTTCCTCCTTGCATCAAACATGCAGTGGTACTACAGAATTGGATCCTATCTGACTAGGATGTTACTAAAACAATGTAACATGTCTGGAGGGACTAGAAAAGGAAGTAATTCTGTGCATAATTTTATGAGCTGAATGAAATATTGATATGGGCTTAGTTAAATAAACCAGGGAGGTGGATGGGTGTTAATCAACCTTCAACTAGCATAACCTGTAAGGATAAATTTATTACAACCCCTCCTTCTCACCAAGATAAAAGGGCTATGTGAGTATTGGTTTGGGTGAAGTGCATGCGTGCACGCTCGTGTGTGTGTATGAGGGAAGGGAGTTCAGAGAACAAAACCTGTGAGAGACAGACACAAAATGGAAGAATGCCAAGCAGCGAACTGTGAGCACAGTGTATGACCCTAGGGGGAAAAAACTAGAGTTTTGTGAGTGTGGTTTTGGCTAAAGAGGCTTGGAGTTGTAAGCTAACAAAACTATTCTTTTGTTTCTGGTTCCTCCTGCATTTGAAGAAGCAAGATTGTGTGCACTCCTTTTACATGAGAATGACTGTGTCAAAGAAAGTATCAGTCGCCATCAATTTCTCCTCTCAACTGGAACATCCTCAGGGACCCTGAACTTTTAAGAGCCACTTGATCGAAAAGGGGCAACAATGACATACAGCAAACAAACAGGGACAAATTCAGGTCTCACATTGCTCACTGACAAGCTACCATCAGAATGGAATTTGAAGAGCCCAACATTTTACATGCTCCTCTGACACCACTGACTTCACAGTCTGCAGGAACTTCTTGGCCAGCACTATGGAGGGACCATACCAGGGCAATGCCAGGGCTAGGAAAAGTAAACCTACTGCATCAGTATCTACTTCCTGATCCCACATGCACCATCCCTCACTGAGATTAAGGAGGCTTCTGAGATAAGTAATCTCATGGGCAGCTCTGTGGCGATTGCATGCCCACCCAAAGCAAGTCAGAACAGGAGCATCTATTAACGCTGTTTTTGTAGTATAAATGTGCGCCTGTGTCCATGCTAAAAATACTCAAGCCTTGAATTTGGTCAACAGTGTCTAATCTCAGCATCCTTGAAAAATAAAATTGCAAACTGAATTAATAATCTTTGCTTCAACAAAGACATTAACTCCGTAATATGCTAGAAGATTTTGTTCCACATACAAACGGGTCATCTCTTTTAAAGAAAACAATGCTGGCAATTAGATTAATGTAAAAGAGACAGCGACTATGTCAACAGCATGCATAATCCAAAGTAAACTGAGTGGAAACAAAATGCAGTTGCATGGACTCTGTAGTTTAAATAAAAGTAATGAAAGGTAGTTTGCAATATCACAAGTACTATATACCACAGAGTATCTTCCAAAATCCGTGTCATAAATACTGACAATGTTTGATAGGCACGAGGGAAACAATATAACACAGTCATCCCAGAGAAAACTTATTGCTAAAAGCTGCAGTATCTCTTTTTGCAAGTAAGATGACAGTGTGATTTGCAAACAATGTGTCAGCCCAATGTTTCTAAAGCTGCAAATGAGCTTTTTCACGCTGTTTCTCCTTTCTTGTAAAAAGCATGCTGCTGTTCTTCCCCTAACATATTTCAATTAGTGTGAACAACTCAGAAGAAAATGAGAAAAGATAATTGCACAGCGAAAGGGACAATACTGTAACAGATTGAAAGGGCAGAATCTGGTTGGATTCTTTAAAGGGCAGGCTTAGACCTCCTTACAAAAGACAGCGGGCCTACCAAAAAGTGATCACTTTTTCATGAAAAACCCATTCAACTTCCTACAGGTTTTGCACAGTTTCTTCTACAGAGATACTTTAGGAATATAGAGAATTGTGTTGCCAAAGATCCTCTTCAGTCCTCTTCTGTGCAGCCCAATAGCTCTGACCGTAAAGTGATCCTGCCATACCATGACCAAGGGAGGATCCTTATGTGCCGTGCATAGATTGGGGGGTCAATGACATTCTTTCTGTGTGTGTCATTGTCAAAATTTCCCTGGAAAACCTAGAATATAAGAAATAAAAATGATTATTTATGCTTGTATTGCAATTGATAAATACTAACACATGGAAGAAAAAGGGCTAATACAAGATTTATGTTTTCAATTGGAAAATCTGCTGACTTCGGAAAGGACAGTTCCCCAAAACTGCAGCATGGTCTTTCTCTCAGCTGGAAGCTTCTCCTTGAAAATCTTTAAAAGATCTCCAAAAAGAACCAGGACAACTTAATTATCCAATTTTATTAATTGATAACAGCACTTTAACAAGTTTACTGTTTCCCTTGAGAGTCAGGAAAATGCTTTTAAAATAAAAAGCATTTTCCTTTTATGGACTTAATGTGATTGAGTAGTTGCACATAAGGTAAAGAACCAACATCATGTAACCAGCCAACTCTCTGTGGGACCATTATCAGTGCTCTATGAGCTACCAGTATTTCATGAACCACAGTTTGACAATCTCTGACTAACTGAGGCTGGACTCCACACACTACAGCAGTGAGATGCAGTACAGACCACCTGATGAATTGCCAAACAAATAGTTCAAAAATCAGAGGACAAATGAAACCCAATTCCAAATTAAAATTTACACTATATGTGTTCCAGCTAACATACTCCAGTCCTGCACATATGCTCTGTGACACCCTATATTACAGCACTATGCTCTGAAAAAGAGCAGGAAACTTATAGGAAAACATGTCCACCAGCTGAAGGAATATAGAGACATAGATGTGTAAATAGGAGAGACAAGAACGGCAAAGGCAAGGGGAAGAGGCAGAAGGTGAACCAAGCATGGGGATTGTGAGAGGCAGGTTTAAGTGCTTTGATGGGAGAATTTAACTGTACCTCGGGTCTTAAATGTCTGCTCACTTATTCTTTTGTGTCAAGGTCCTTTTGGTTCTTTAAGTCAATGTGAAATGAATTCGCTCCAGGGATAAATTTGGTCTTTAGCCACCTACCAGATGAACCAATGTTGTATTTAATTCTATTTATGGTACCTAAATGATCACCTCTACCATAGTATCTGAACCAAAATGCAGGACTATGTAACACTTTAAAGACTAACAAGATGGTTTATTAGATGATGAGCTTTCATGTGCCAGACCCACTTCCTCAGATCAAATAGTGGAAGAAAATAGTCACAACCATATATACCAAAGGATACAATTTAAAAAAATGAACACATATGAAAAGGACAAATCACATTTCAGAACAGAAGGGGACTGAAGGGAGGCGGGGAAGGAAGGAAGGTAAGTGTCTGTGAATTAATAATATTAGAGGTGGGGAAAGTTAGATGTCTGTGAGCTAATGGTATTAGACTAAGGAATAGATTTTAAATATTCAGGCACCTAAAGATACTAGTGAACACCGAGTAGAAATTTTAGAAGCTCCAAGGTACCTACATCCCATTTAAATCAATAAGAGTTAGATGCCTGGGCACTTCTGAAAATCTCACAAGGTGTCCATATGCAATGTTAGGTGCTTAAATACCTTTAAAAGATGACTTGGGTCATGCAAGTGCTGGTGCCTAGAACTGAATCTGGGTCTAATAAGAATGATTGTTGGACTATCCATTCTGACTGTCGGATTATCCATCGCTGTGGTTAGCTTAGTCATTTCATTAATCATTATTTAGTTATTTGTAATGATTTTAAAAGTTTCAACTTAATTCCAAATAAGGGAATGTTAATAATTCTTTTCAAGTGAAAATGCAAGGATCATTTGCCAGAACTTGATCGTGCTCCTATCACATTTAATAACAAATTTCCCATTGGCTTCAATAGCATAAAAATATAAGAACATAAAAATGGCCATACTGGATCAGACCAAAAGTCCATCTAGCCCTACATCTTGTCTTCTGACAGTAGTCAATGCCAGGTGTCCCAGAGGAAATGAACAGAACAGTTAATTATCAAGTGATCCATTCCCCGTTGCCCATTCCCAGCTTCTGACTGAGACTTGGTACATCGTTACTGCCCATCCTGGCTAATAGCCATTGATAAATTTATCTAATTATTTTTTGAACCCTGTTAAAATCCTGGTCTTCACAACCTCCTCTGTGAGGAGTTCTACAGTTGACTATGCATTAGGTGAAGAAATACTTCATTTTGTTTGTTTTAAACCTGCTAACTATTAGTTTCATTTGGTAATCTCTAGTTCTTGTGGTATGGGAACAAGTAAATAACTTCCTTATTTACTTTCTCCACACCTGTCATGATTGTATTCCTACTTAGGGTATGCCTACACAGCAACATTATTTCAAAATAACTTAGTTCACATCTACACAGCAGACAGTTATTTCGAAATAATGTCAAACTACTGTCAAGATGGAGGCCTTCTTACTCAGTCGGAGGAAGAGTGCTCTATTTCAAAATAAGTGCTGTGTAGACACTCCCAGTTTTGAAATAAGCTATTCTGAAATAAGCTATGCAATTGACGTAGCTCCATTTCCATAGCTTATTTCGAGTTAAGCCCTGCTATGCTTATTTCGAGTTAATCGCCTCTTTTCTCATCCCAGTCTTATAATCTCTTCTCATCTGGCAGCTGTTCCATACCCCTAATCATTTTTGTTGCCCTTTTCTGAACTTTTTCCAATGTCAAGATATCTTTTTTGAAATGAGGTGACTATATCTGCACATAGTATTCTGGATACATAACATGGATTTATATAGAGTCAATAACATATTTTTGTCTTATTCTCTATCCCTTTTCCCTAACATTCTGTTTGCTTCTTTGACTTGCTGCATATTGAGTGGATGTTTTCAGAGAACTATTCATAATGAGTCCAAGATCTCTCTTGAGTAGTAACAGCGAAATTACTCCCTATCATTTTATACAGATAGTTGGAATTATGTTTTTCCAATATGCATTACTTTGCATTTACCAACATTAAAATTCATCTGCCATTTTGTTGCTCAATCATCTAGTTTTGTGAGATCTGCTTGAAGCTCTTTACAGTGTCTACTTTGGACTTAACTATCTGGACCATTTTGGTGTCATCTGCAAATTTTGCCATCCCACTGTTTACCCCTCTCGCAAGATCATTTATGAATATGTTGAATAGGTTTGGCCACCGGAAAGGACACCACTAGTTACCTTTCTTCTTTCTGAAAACTATTTATTTCTACCCTTTGTTTCCTGTCTTTTAACTGGTTATCAATCCATGAAAGGACCTTTCCTCTTATCCCAGGAAACTTATTTTGCATAAGAGCCTTTGGTGAGGGACCTTGTCAAAGGCTTTCTGAAAATCTAAGTACACTATAGCCACTGGATCCCTTTTGCCCGCATGCTTATTGACCCCCTCAAAGAATTCTAGTTGACTTTCCCCTAACAAATTACATTTATCTATGTGTTTGACAATTCTGTTCTTTACTATAGTTTCAATCAATTTGCCCAGTATTGAAGTTAAACTTAGCAGCCTGTAATTACCTGGAGCCCTTTTAAAAAATTGACATCACATTACCAACCCTCAGTTACTTGGTACAGAAGATAATTTTAAAGGATAGGGTACAAACAGTTAGTAGTTTTGAATTTGTCATCTGAGTTCTTTCAGAACTCTTGGGTGAATGTTATCTGGTCCTGGTGACTCATTACTGTTTAGTTTGTCACTTTGAGACAATTCCTCAGATTTGTCATCTAAAAAGAATGGCTCATGTTTGGGAATTTTCCTAACATCTTCAGCCATGAAAACCAAAGCAAATAATTCATTTAAAGTCTCTGCAATGACCTTATCATTGTTGAATGCTCTTTTAGCATCTCAATTGTCCATTGGCCCCACTTGTTTACCAGGCTTCCTGCTTCTGATGTACTTCATTTGACAAACTTTATGTTCCTTTCTATTTTCCTAATTAGGATTTAGCTTCCATTTTTTAAATGACGTCTTTTTATTTCTCACTGCTTCTTTTATTTGTTTGTTAAGTCAAAGTGGCACTTTTTTGGTTCTCATACTATATTTTTAAAAATTTTGGGTACTCATTTAAGTGAACCTATATTATGTTGTTTTTGAAAAGTTTCCATGCAGCTTACAGGGATTTTACTTTTGGTACTGTACCTTTCAATTTCTTTTTAACCAACCTCCTCATTTTTGTGTAATTCCACTTTCTGAAATGAAATGTCAGTGTTGGGCTACTGTGGTGTTTTTCCTACCACAAGAATGTTACATTTAATTATATTATGGTCACTTTTTCTGTTTGGTACAGCTATATTCACCTCTTGCACCAGATACTGTACTTCATTTAGAACTAAATCAAGAACTGTCTCTTCTCTTCTAGGTTCCAGACAACTGCTCCAAGAAGCAGACATTTAAGGTGTTAAGAAATTTCATATCTGCATCCCATTCTTTGGCGATTAGTACCCAGCCTCACAGGATATACTGTGTACTCTAATTTTCGACCACAATTATAAATATTAATATTTTCTTATATAACTCTTACTTTACTCACTATATATATATTCTTTCTCGTAAAATGAAGTTTACAGGGATGCCAGAAAAGTGCAGCTGCTTTTCTGAAAAGTTTTTTGGAAAAGCAGATGCGTTCCCTAGACGTAGCAGTTTTTCTAAGATATTTCCAGTATCCCGGAAAAACTCTGTAGTGCAGACATAGCCACAGTAGTATAAACAAGGAAGTTTTAACAGAGATGCCAAAGAATGAATGCATGGGGGACTAAAACTACCTTCTCAGCCCTAAAGGTCCTTTTATACAATGATTACAAAATAGCATAAGAAAACCAACACTTCTGCTCTCCATGTTACATAAATCCTTTGAACATAAAACATCCTTCCTGAATTGCTATCAGCCTGGCACACTGCATGATAAACTTGAATGCACCCTTCCAACCTCTTCATGAAAGATAAATTTGCCTTATTAATCAGCACCTAGTTACTATAGAGATAGGCACATTACAAGTGCATGTGTAGTTAAAATAGATTACATTAGTCTCGAAAGACAGACTACTGAGAAAACAACACTAAGGGGCTAATGAAAAAATATATTTATCATAGGATACC